GATGAAGCTGTGTGGAAAGTCTGGACTGACACATGATGACATTCGAATGAGTGATTGATGGCATGTAAATTTAGAAGCTTCCTATCTGGCGACTATGGTGTAATGTCTTGTACTTCACAGAATCACCACAGTCAATATTCAGATATCAGTTTTATTTCATTTTTCATTTCCCATCTCATTCCACTCCTGGAACCTATCTCTCGATCAAATGGAAGAGAGGATGTGAAGGTAAAGATAACTCAATTGTCAAGCAGGACAGAACTTCTAGCACGTTTTGATAACATATGTCAGGATTTTCCTTCAATTGAGAAACCCTTTATACCAAATCATCAATTGAAATCTGAAGTAGATGATTGAATACTTGCAGTGCCACAGTTCGCTTTGTGAGGGGCTTCTATCAATCACCTCCAGCTGGGCAAGCCTTGATGATGGTTGTGGTCTGTGCACACCAATGACGATGGCTGGTGATCAACTGTGTAAGAACTTAAGAATGAATGTAGGAAAGCTTTCCTTGAGTGCTTGTTCCAACTGCCATGATCTCGAACAACCTCAAATCACAACACACAAACCATTGTCTAATCATTAATCAAATATCCACAGAAAAAAAGAACGCTTACCGTACAAGCAAACATATCAATCATACAGGATGTGGAATGATGAAGACAATAATCCATACGGCACCAGCTTTGAGCGCCGAGATTCAATAACTTCTTCAAACGCTGTCCCGAATTCCCCTGGATCTCGTAAGTTCTTGTCTTTCATTCTAACAACTTTGATCACTTCGTATCAAAATGTTTTCCGTTTTCCTGGGACACGCGCCAGGTGCTGAGTCTGATGCTGACTCCGAGGGCTGGGATATCGTAGAACATGATTTTGGTGGACCACGCACTCCTTCCACCATCAGCGAAAACCAAGATAATGTACCAGAACAGCGCAATCTAAGTTATGATCCGAGCGAGGCGGGAAGTGACGAGGATTATGGCGAAGCGTCTCAGGCTACAAGAAGGCAGAAGAAGGGGGGGTATGATAGTCGCATTGAACAAATTCTTTACGAGAATCCGGAACTCCCTATTCTGATTGTTGATGCCGGGAAGAGTTCTGAGAGTGGTGGGAAATACATTGTGTATACGATAAAAACTGGGGTATGATGACTAGCTAGGTAAACTAGACAAGCTAACAAGATAGTAGGATCTTGAAGTCCGTCGTCGCTATTCCGAGTTTGCCTCTTTAAGAGATGCCCTCTCCAGGTTACATCCTACTTTGATCATTCCACCTATTCCAGAGAAGCATACCATCGCAGATTATGCGGCGAATCCAACCAAAGCAAAGGTGGATCAACAGATGATAGATCTTCGAAAGCGCATGTTGGCTGTCTTCCTGAACAGATGTAGGAGAATGGACGAGGTACGGAATGATGGGGTTTGGTGGAGATTTCTGGATCCAAACGCAAGTTGGGTAAGTCAACGATCGTTCATATTCCATTGCATTCTCATTTTGACTCTCATTAGAACGAAGTATTACATTCCCATCCTATCGCATCAATTCCAAAATCCAATATGAAAGCCCCACCACTCGACCCCGCCAACCCCACACCTGCTCACGCATTCCTACCCGTGCCTGCATCCTCTGCGAAACTCAAGGCAGCTTCCACATCTAATACCAATGCTCAAGGTATGATAGCACAACCTTCTGAGTATGCCGCCAGTCCTTCCACCGCAGCGCATTCTACAGCCGGGCCGCAAGTCTTTGGCAGAATCCCTCCGGAAAGTGCGAATTTGAGTGAACAGGATTTGGATCCATACTTCATAAGCTTTGAATCTTCTACGAAGGACTTGGAAGCATTGTTGACCGGACCTATTGAACGAGTGAATCGGAGGACATTGACCCATTTGTCTTCCTTGTCGACCGATTTGGCGGAACTTGGCGCTAGATACAATGGCTTTTCGCTCTCTGAGCCGTCGGCATCTCTTGCAGCAGCTATTGAAAGGGTTGGTCAAGCTGTTGATTCCTCGTACATTGCGACTGAGGAACTCTCTGCCTCCTTAGGTGCAACTTTTGCCGAACCAATGCGCGAGAGTGCACAATTTGCTGGTGTAGTACGAAGTGTTCTGAGATATCGTGTTTTGAAGAGGGTTCAGCAAGAGATGACCAACGAAGACCTGGCTAAAAAGAGAGCTCTTCTAGAGCAGTTGGAAAGGAGCGAAGCTGAAGCAAAGAGAATCGACCAATATCTAACCAATAGTGGAACTGGCAATGTACCACGGCGGTCAAATTCATCTGCAAGAGAACCACCACAAGTGAGACGTGAATCGCCGCATGATGATACGGCATCAATTGATTCCGATTTTCCTCCTACTCACGGCGATACTCCATCTGCTTCTCAAGGAATTCCTCAACAGGAAGAGATTCCTCCTACTCATCGTAAGAGTTCAAGTGGAAATTTCATTACCAACAAGATATTTGGACGTATAAGTCATGCAGTCCACGGTGTTGTTGATGCTGACCCGGAGCGAACACGAAGGGATCAAATTAGCAAGACTAGAGAGGCAATTTCACATTTGGAACAAGCTCAACTCGCTTCCGCACAAGATGTCAAAGATGCAAGTGCAGGTGTTCTTAAGGATTTGCAGAGGTTCCAAAAGGAGAAAGAAGATGATTTGAAGAGATATATGGTATGTGTCGAAGTCATGTTACATTCCTTCTTTTGAAACCGTCAGGCAAAGTTGTGACGGAATACTAATCATTTTACAGCTTGCATACGCGAGGGCTCAAATTGAATGGGCGAAAAAAAATAAGGAAACGTGGGAGGAAGCCAAACTCGAAGTGGAGAAGATAGATAATAATTAATGCAGGGAAGGAATGAAGACTTATTATGATGATGGGTGACGGATGATAAAGTTAATCGAAGCTAGCCAGTGGGCAATGGTGGTATTTTACGGATAGTAATATTGATACAGGTTGGATCAGTGGATATGAATAAAAAGGAGTTGGGGGGGAGTGTTGTGTAATTAGGGACCAGGAAAGATAGCTCTGCAAGCGCAGCCAACGAACAGAAATGATTAGAGATATACCCTTGAGATTGAAATTGAGGTCGATAGTGGCTGTGTGCATGTTATGGGTGAGATTCTTGTGTTAGATATCTGATAACTCTGCAAAGGTCTAGCTTGTCTGTAAGAGTGCGCGTGCAATGCTGACCGGGTATCTAGGATGTGGCTTACCAAGCTTTTCTTCCCATAGTCTCACGTTGCCGGTATGGGAGGCATGGAATCAAAAATTCACTCGTGGCTCAGGAATCAATAGCATGAAGTGTTTTAGTTTTCGCACCTTTGTGTACAATAAAGTGAAGCATGAAGTGCGGCATACATTATTCGGCTATTTCTCGCAGAATAGGCATCAACCAACAGAAGAAAACAGCGTAGAGGGTTGAAGGGTGGGGTCATCAAGTCACAATTTAAGGAAATGAAGAAAATTCTGATATCATTTGATGCTACGTTGAAGTCTCTTTTTCAAAACTAAAACAGTATGTCATTTCATCACATTTTTAGCTTTGAATCAATCCCTCTGATCGGGGGAACCCTTTCTCGTAAAGATAAATCGAATTTCTGGTAAAGCAGGTTCAACATTTCAAAGTTGATGAGGATTAATAACGAAGCAGACTCAAAATCAAGCGAGCTACATGTCCGATTGACTAAGAAGACAATATCGATGATGATGTGGAACACAATGCCAAGTCTTTTAGACGTATCTACTTTTCTCTTGGTATCAGTCAACTCTGCTTGATTCTATCGAGTTTCTTGACATTCAAGTTTTCAGTCCTATGTTGGATAAAGAGTAAAGTTAAAATCATGTATTCGTTGTGAACCCTGATCTAGGTAGAAAGAGCAATCTTAAAAAGTATCCCCTTTTACAAAATTCCTATCGGTGTGGGCTTGAAGCACGGGATTTTCTCAAAAGTGGACATGTTGGGATGATCCCAACATGACATTTCCAATCAATACAAACCTACCATAGATTTGATAATTGCCTAGATTTGACAGTTCACTATCTGAGCAATAGTTCGCATCTCGGGATTTCACTTCCGTACAGATCAATTACTGATGGTTGGGAATCATCTGTTCACATCCCTCCGTTTCGTGATCGTGATCGTGCGAGCGAAGATGGAAAACAAAATTCAATCGACACAATAGCTTTGATCTATGGTAGATGTGAGAGTGCGCAATGAGTGCAGGGGAGTGATATTAACTTTACCCACTTTCTTGGCCAAAATGCTCCATAGCAAGATGTTCTAATGTCCAAAATGAAATCAAGCTTTCCAATAGTTTGATAAGCATTCCGGGCCCGCTGGAAAATGGAGTCAGAAGAGCTAACAGCTGAATATCATACTACGAGTTAAACTTTTGATTAATGTTTTTCCGCGCTGCCCTAATGAAAGATATAAAAGAATAAAAGAAAAGCTTGTAGGGAGAGAGTGTGTAAAGTGTTTATCCGCTTGTCAGTAATAAGGTTATTGCGGGGTAGATTTTTGTGGATTTGCGGGGACTGGAGTCTGGAGAAGATGGGGTTATCCGGGTGGTAAGCGACCGCCGTTTTGATCAGCTAGACTAGATGGAACTTGAGAAGCTACGATCTTTGTTTTCCCAATTGATACTAGAACCTAAGAACATGATTTTGGGGCTCTCTACCGGATACATCGAAAGTTTCAATAATTCTCAAATTGGTTCATGATGTGGAGCTTGAAGATATATTGCTAGCACTCGTCACTTGTAAACATGTTCGAATTCCCTTGTTGCACACAGGTCAGATGGAAATAAATCCCAGGGTATGAGGGTCAATCTTTTACCGGGAGCTATGCTTCTGTACAGATCACTGATCTATCATTCTCACGCCTCAGTCATGCAAATTCACATCGAAGCTCTGGGGATGGTGAAGGTTACGTATGTGTGAAAGTGGAGAAGAAGCTCTGGATATTATTGTCTAGCCATGCGCAAAATTAATTCAACATGTTTCCTCTTTCTTGTCGTGCCCCGATTTGCATCTCAACATCCCTGAGCATTGAAGCTCCAATCTGCAATCATGGGGTTGCTATCCAAAGTCGGGGATCGTCCCACCCCTTCTCAAGTCTAAAATTGGCGTGTTTATGCATGTTCTATCGTCGCTGGTTTTGTGGCTGTCATGATAGGTTATGATAGCGCATTTATTGGAACAGCGATCGCGCTCCCGTCTTTCAAAGAGGAATTCAATTTTGCCGCATTGTCCAAGACGAACTTAAATCTTGTGAGCGCCAATATCGTATCATGTTATCAAGCTGGAGCATTCTTCGGTTCCCTCTTTGCGTACATTGCGGCGTATTTCCTCGGAAGAGTCAGAGGTATGGCTGTATTTAGTGCTGTGTTTACAGTTGGTGCTGCCATGATGCTTGGTGCAAATGGAGATCGTGGCCTGGGTCTCACATACGGCGGACGAGTTCTTGCTGGCTTAGACGTAGGAGGTTGTTCGAGTTTGGCTCCTATTTACATCTCCGAGATATCTCCACCTGCAATTCGTGGTCGACTGGTTTGCGTAGGTTTTGCCACCCAATTGCATATTAAAACTCTTGTTGATCTACTGCCAGATGTTTGAATTAGGATGGCAGATTGGTGGACTGGCTGGATTCTGGATTAATGTGAGAATAACAATCGTTGAGTGAGGGGAGGGTTGCTAATTGTCTCTGCAATACGGAATTTCTGAAACTCTTTTATCTAACCACGAGCAATGCATAATTCCATTTGCAATCCAACTCATTCCCTCCGGACTATTGTTACTCGGATCAATTTCGCTTCATGAAACTCCTTGCGTGAGTACATCGACTTCCAAATCACTCACTCTTTCTTCTCAATTCCGTTGCTTTTCAAAGGCAGAGCTAACCTTTATTCCATACGGTGGTTAATGAGCAAAGGAAAATGGGACAAAGCTATCAAGAATCTATGCTAGATTCAAAATCTAACTGAAGATGACATTTACATCAAGGAAGAGATCTACGCAATCGACCAAAATATTGAGCAACAGATGGCAGGAGGTGGTCTTGGATTCTGGCAACCATTCAAACTCCTCGCGAGGAGCCGCAAGATTCAATGGAGGTTTTTCCTTGGAGGAGCATTATTCTTTTGGCAAAACGCTTCTGGTATCAATACCGTCAACTATTATTCTCCGACTATTTTCAAGAGTATTGGTATTATCGGTACTAATACTTCATTATTCTCGACTAGCCTATTCGGTGTTGTCAAAACTGTCGGAACTATCATTTACTTGCTATTCCTGATTGATCAATTGGGGCGCAGGAAGTCGTTGATGATCGGATCCATTGGTGGAGCTCTGTGCATGTACTACGTTGCTGGTTACATTGCAATCGCAAAACCTGCAGATCACCCAACAAGTTCCCTACCACCTTCTAGTGTATCTACCGTTTTCCTTTTCTACTTGTGGACTGTAAGTGTTCCAGCCAAATGAATACCCAAGGATTTACTAATAACTTTATAGACATTTTATACTTCAACCTGGAACCCAACGCTGTGGGTAATCAACGCCGAGATCTTTGACTAAAGTGTCCGAACACTAGCTCACGCACATGCCGCTGCTCATAACTGGCTGTGGAATTTTCTCATCTCGAGGTTCACACCCCAAATGTTTTCTTCAATGGGATATGGAGTTTACCCATTTTTCACATCTTTGATGATTTGGGGTGCGGCGTTCGTTTTCTTCTTGATTCCAGAAACGAAGAACGTTCCTCTGGAGGCCGTCGATAGACTCTTTCAGCGCGGTTTGCCGGCTAGGAGAGCGCATGCAGTTGTATGGGCGGAATTGGAGCAGGAGTAAGAGGCATTGAGAGCGGGAATTACAGCTGGATTGGAATAGGAGAGGACCACTTCACATGTTGAGACTGTTTAATATGGATGAGAAACGAGGGATTATTGTCTATTCGTAGCTAATGGCCTATTCATGGCTCGCTTATTGCTGCAGTAGTGAGAAATAGTGATATCAAAAGCCTCGCATAATTTCGCCTCTGCATCAACCTCCCTGAAGTGATAGGATTCAAGCAGGGGATCGTAGGGTTCTAATCTGTCAAGCAGAATACCCTCGATATAAAAATCAATGTATGTTCAGGTTAAAGGGCATCCTGAGGAATAGAAACCCCCAAACTTTAGAACTGTGCACTCCATCCCCTTTCCCCCCTACTTCCTATTCCCGAGCCCCAATAAAAATGCAATTCTCAACACCAACCCAAACCCGAGAATCCCGATATTAATTAACTCCTCCGCCGACCATCCCCCAACGTTCAAAAGTACAACTGGATCCGCCTCGTAGATTCCCCAAAAATGACCTACATCACACAGCAACATAGCAGACACCACAGTATTCCACACGGAATAGTCGCGAGTGAGTCTCAAGACCACCGCTTCATTGATTGTGAATAGGACGTAGAGAGCAGCGATATCAGTGGTGAGTAATTGGATAACGGGATCCGGAGTAAGGGTTGAGGAGAGGGAAACAAAGGGTTTGGAAAGGGAAGAGGGGGCGGTGTCGTGGATGAATTTGTAGGGTTGGAAGTAGGCTAGGTAGGCGCCAGAGAGGGCCAGGATGGGTTCGATGTAGAGGAGGAATACATGGTAAAATGGGTGTATTTTGGAAATGCGGGAGTCAATTGATGTGGTCATTGTATAGATGGTGATGGTGATTTGTTGGAGAAAGATTGAAGGTGTTAGGTTAAAGGTAGGTTATATGTGCAGATGTGATCATGAGCTTCAATGTTTTGAAACAATTAGAACAATGTGAGAAGTCTGTCTGTGCTGCCGGAAATTTTCCGCCGTACACATATTTGTTAGCCGTGTGCCACTAATTACCGAGGCCGATTTGGTCGATATAGCCAAAACCTCAAAAATAGATTTCTACTTAAAGTAAAAAAAAATTCTAAAATTTTTATAATATAATTATAAAAAACTTGAAAAAAATATTTGTACTATATAGAGTATAATCTTATTATATATTATTATAGAAACTATATATAATATATCTTCAATTTTTCAAATAATATAATAGTGATAACAATATTATTAAATTATAATACTTATTTTAATAACGTAACGTATGGGGAACTCGGACATATGGGGAACTCGGACACTTTTTCAATTATTCTACACGCGATCTTGTTCTACGAGCCACACAATCCTCCAATTCCAATTCCGAATCACTTGAACTATTCTCTAGCTCTTCTTCTTCAATCTCTTCTTCTGATTCTTCAATTGGGCGTTTGCGTGGCCGTCCTCGTGGCTTTTTCTCCTTCGGTTTTTCCTCCGCCTCACGTACCATTTTCAATACTTCCTTAGTACTAAAGACAAATTGACCTTGTAATTTGACTCTTTTGCCTTTAGTTCTTTTCTTTCGAGTCTCAATTACCTCCTGAGCATCAGAGAGCTGTTTCCGAAGTAGGGCTATCTCAGCATTTTGAGATTCTACAAGCCTAGTCATTCTCTTGGCATATCGACGAGTTGGCGATGCAGGAGAACCACTGCTTGCTAGAGCTGTATTAAAGATCTGATTTGCTTGCCTTAGTTCTGTTCCATCTGGAGGAGAACTCCTGAGTATAGACAAGTCTAGGTCTTGATTGGGGGTTCTCATTTGTGGAGTAGAAGGTTGCTGGGAGGAGTTAAATGGTAATGAATCGAGTACTTTTCGTGGGGCAAAAGGTACTAAACCAGCTCCTCTCCAGCCAGCTTTAATATTAGAAGAATTCAATGCTTTTTTTCTAATATTTTGAAAGAGTTCTACCCATTCAGCTCTTTGGATTCGCTTTACACCAGCTCGAGAATATCGATCGACCTCTAAAGCATGATATCGTTTCATTGGCCCATACACCGCAATATCAAGTGGCTGAAGCAAGTGAGAGCAATGAGGAGGTAATATAAGTAAATCAATATCATTATCTATACAGAAAGCAATAAAGCTACCTGTAATATGGCTTGAATGGCCATCCATGATCAAAAGTCGAGGTCGGTCACCTGACACTTTCTTGGATTCTGGTTCGAAAACCCTTTTTCACCATTCTAATCCATGGCTATTTGAGGTCCATCCATTTGTACTAGTAGAGAACTGCCAGCTTTGAGGTGTGTCCTTTGGAATCCATGCAGAATTCGTATTCTGAGCCTTGAAAATGACCATAGGTGATAGAGCATTTCCAGCTGCATTGACACATTCAAATGCAGTTATCCATTCTTGCTTGCCAGCTGTAACTTTCCAATTCGATTTCTGAGTAGAATCGACTATAATGCGCGTACTTTGAGTACTTCCAACTCCAAATCCGGTTTCATCCATATTATACATATCATCTAATTCATACTTTCGCTCAATAAGACGCGTGCGAAACGCGTCAAACCAAGCCTGAATATTCTCCAGAGTTGCTTCTTTAGCCCGATTAGACTCTAATTGACGTGAATAGCATGTTTTAAGTTCTGGATGTCGTTTTTGGAATCTATAGATCCATTCGTGGCCTATAGGTGGAATTTCTGTCGAGGTAGGATTTCGAGATGACGCGACCCGAACGCGTCGAAGACGAATTTCGTCGGCCATTTCCTTCACCAACATAGGTGTAGCAGGGAATCCAGTGATGGTAAGTTGTGAAATCCATCGTACAAGAGTATTTTCTTCTGCGTTTGAAAGAATTTGAGCCATTTCGTGGGTTTGAGAACGTGTTTTCTTCCCAGCCAGCCTATCAGCTAGGGTAGACTTAGGGACTTCAAAATGCTCTGCAGCCTTTCTAATTGATTTAAATTCTTTCAATTGAAGTGAAATTATAGCCTTTTGAAGCTTCTCTTCAATTTGAGCAGATGTAGAAGGTGATTGGGTATGCATAATAAAAGTTATTGCGGTTTCAAGTTGGTGATGGGCTAAAAGTGTCCGAGTTCCCCATATGTCCGAGTTCCCCATACGTTACGTTAATAAACATTACTTTTTATTAATTATATAAAACTTATATAATTATTTTAGTACATATAACCTTATAATAAATAAATATATTCAATATAAATAAACAATTGAATTTATTAATCTTTCAATTAAAAATCTTTTAATTAATTCAAAGCTTATAATATCAAGTTATATAATCGTTATAATAAAATGATATCTGGTTTTATTATAGTTAATAATTCTCCTCCTTTTTTGTTAATTTTTAATACATTAGATTTAAAGAATTCAAATGATTTATTAAAGCCTATATTCTTTAAACTATTAGAAGTTAATAAAAATCGATATATTAATTACTCTTTTCAATTTATATACCCCCTCTTGTATACCTTATATTTAATATTTATTAATATTTTATTAATTAAAATACTATTTTACATATATAGATTATCTAAAGCTTCTTGAAAAAAAAATTCTATATAAGGTTCAATTTTGATATAATAACACTTTAAACAATCCTCTATATAATATATATATTATTAAAGCTTTAATTATTTAATCTTAATATATATATAACTTTAAAGCTTTTATTTATTATTTATTAATCTCTCTTTTTCAAAAGTATTATAAAATGATAGCTTTATTAGAAGTGTATGAAAGAGGAGGATGTTTTTATAAGTTATATAAAACTAGAGGGGTAGTTTCAAGGTGTATATATAAATTGTAAGAAATAGAATAAAAGTAGAGTATATATTATTTATAATATAGATCTTGAAGAATTTATAGTATTATTTGAAATATCTAAAATAAATGTATAAATATACTCTGGGAAATATATAATTCGTTTTTAGTTATATCGATTTGTTAATGACTAAAAAAGACAGGCAATTGAGATAGAAATTGAAAGATAATATAATATATTGAAAATAGGAGTAAATATTATGTACTTATAACCTAGCTTTTATTTATAATATTAATAATTTTTATTTCAATCTTTATATATTTGTATTTTATTTATATATTTATTATATATATTTAATAAGGAAAATAAAAGTCTATTCTTCAAATTAGATTATAATCAGTATAAACAAAAAAGTATGGAATATAAACCTTTTTTTATATATTTATTTAATAAACAATAGATTTTGATTTCAAAAATTATATATATATATAGAATAATAATTATATAAAAAGAAAAGTAAAAGAGTTATAATAAATAGCTTTTAATTGATAAAAAAAATAGAACTTCAAAATCTTGTTTTATTTATATCTATCTTTCCTTATTAGCTTTCCCATTAATTAAATCTTTATAAAATCCATATCTAAATAGATTATTTTTCGATCTAATTTTTTATAACATTTAAAATATTAGATTAATGTTTATAGTATTAATCAAATCATTTTAAGAAAATAATTAAAAAAATTCGATTTTATTAAAAAAAGGGATTCTATTATTAATAGATAAAGTGTTGATAATTTATATACTTTTTTTTATATTAATAAATTCAATTAATTAAATAATAATATATAATTTATTAATAAGGTTAATAGATTTGAAGGTATACTTTTTGAAGTATTAATGTTAAATATATTAGGTATAAATTCAAACATAAGTTTAAATAAGTCTTCAATCACTTAAGTACTATACACTTTGAGTATACTTTTCTTTAAAAGAATTGCTTTAACCCTTTTATTTGAATACTCTTTTATTAATTCAATCTTGATTTTATAATTATCAATAAACTCTTTTTTAATTGAAAAATTAAATGAATATTTAAATTATAATGTTAATCTTTTTAAACTACCTGATTCGGATTTGATTGAAATCGAGTTATTATAATTGTATAAATAAAATTATATAAAATGAATAAGAAAAAGTTGAAGAAAGTTGAATATTTATAAAGAAATAGTGTATTAGCTTTTATAAAGTCTAAAAAGAGAAAGGGGGGTATTAAATTATGAAAGTAATATAATAATAAATGATATTGATTCTTATTTATATATTTCTAGTTATTGAATACATTTTTGCTTTAGGTAGAAATCTATTTTTGGGGTTTTGACCATATCGACCAAATCGGCCTCGGTACTAATAAGCCCACAATTTCAGGGCTGTTACGCTGAGATCATGCACCGTGTTCCCGAGGATCCCACGCCTGTGCCGTAAAATTACATTCTGAAGGACTGAATCACATAGGAGACCGTAGATTTGGAACTTTGGAATCCCAAACGCTTCAGCAATTTATCCGTGTTTTTTGAAAGCTTCATTCGATACCGTAATCACAACCTCTCTCATGAACCTCAGTGTGCCCTCTTTATACCATCCTTAAGGCTTGAGACTCCTTCTCATGTTGTTGTAGGACTGGCCTCTTATTTTTCAACTTCCTTCTGAAGAATCGACTACTATCGCCCATTGGAAAATTGAAAAAAAGTGCTTCCTGACACATCAAATGTTCAACAGTATAATTTCCAAACATTCCCGCTATAAAAGCAAAGGCTCCGGCGGTTTTCTTGAGTACGTCGGCTGTTGCAATGTTGCCATCTGCAGCGCAAAAGTACGAGGCGCTAACGAGGGTGAAGGCTAATTGTACAAAAAAGAAGATTACAATATAGACGAGATTTCTAGAGTATCAATTAGATTTCAATCAAAAGAATGCCAGAGGTGTAACATATAGTACATACATGGGAAGTGATCCGATTAAGAAAAGTAGATTGAAAATAGACCATACTATTTCTGTCAGCTTGGTAGTTCCTAAACAGACAAATAGTCATGGAATCCTACATAAAACCAAGAATCCAAGGGCATCATTATATTGTACAGTATCATCCCCATATGCAGCTGTAATTACTAGAAAAGGAATGTCTAGTGCACCAAATCCAGCATAGAAAAGTCCAAATGCACTCAGGACAGTATAGCCATATGAATTGCCCCGAATAAGCTCCCACTGAGCAGAGATCACCATGCATATGCCTGCACTTCAAGAGTATTAGATGGATGAGATTCAAAGAAGACAAAGTGGAAGGAGTTTCTACCAAAAATTGAAATTCGCAACGAAAACATCTATATTAGATAAACGGCGGAATCCCACAAGAGCACTAGAGAGCGTTGTGAGAGTAGTCGCAAATTCTCCGGTTGCTAATGCGGTCTGAACAATTCCCAAATGAGTTCATAATTGTATAGGGGGAAAGGCTCACCGGACTACCAATTGTGCTCCCAAAGGATTGTGGCACTACATGGATAGAATATCCTCGAAAGCTTTGGTTGGTATCGACGTCTTTGGAACAGTCGCTTTGGACATCTCTACTTCGAATTGTGTCAACCATTTTGAGACAATCGATCAAGCCTTAAAATTCACGTAGATTTAACGCAACAAAATAAAGTCCGAGAAAAGCAGCAACCGGTGTTTGTCGGGATTAACCTCTTGATCTGAAAATACCAAATCCCGAACTTCGCAGAAGAAAATGTTCAGTGCTGATATGTATACTTTGCTCGCAATTTCAACGCATGAGTATAAATTTAAAAATTCCACACTACGGTGCCGACAATCAGAAAATTTTCGTATTTAAGAGCGGTTCAAAAATCACGATGAACTCAGTATTTCAATATAATTCACACACTGGGAACCTTCTTGAGACCATATCTATATGACACGAATCACTTGTTCGTACTCATATTGCCCAGTCTATAGACGAAATTTCGACATACACGCATTCATGACACGCTTCTCGGCAATCGTTTAGGCATATTATCTTCGAGGTCAGGAATAAGGATCCAGATAGATGGTTGAAGACGAATGCACTGATCTGATGTGGTCGATGCACCAATCAATGTCTCATCTGGGGAAATACCGGCTTCTTGGAACTGGATTTCCCCAATGATCAACAACACTAAAAAGAGCACGACATTGAGGTTAAAAGTGCGCGCAATACACAATAACGTGCATCTCTGGGCACAAAAGAGGGGTGAGCGTCGTGGAGAAAAGGTTGTGGAAATCTTGCATTAGTCAGCTTAGACAACATTCAACCAAAAAAAAAACATTCACAAAAACAGAAAGACGGCCGAACAAATCGACCCGACTGATTTTGCAAAGCCCGAATGGTCTAATGCGTACCTAACAGCCTCATACTCAAACCAATCTAAAGAACATTCTCTTCTCTTGAGTAAACATTTGCGCATTTACATGTTCAACAACTTAAGATTCTTCGTTTGTCTCATGACCCCAATCCACCTCCGGTGCTTGACGAAGTCTGATGGCGGGTAGAGCTCCAAACCGCTGTTGGTAAAGATGTAAATAGATCTGATGGTGTTACATCAACTTGTCCAAGAACGTCACTACTTTGGTTCGCACCACCATGGCCGTTCTGGCCACCACCAGCTCGACCGCCTCGTGACGTGGGTATATTACAATCTCGAATAGAATCGTGAACATTGACGCCTGGATTTTTGATCAGGTAGTTCCTCGCATTTTCTGCTGGGGACAGGTAAGGAAACGGAACCCTTTCTTTTCTTCAGTTAGTTGTCTCTGCGACAAGCTCAACGATGAATCAACTCACTATCACCATACTCATAATACCAATTAAGATCTGCCATATATCCAGTCAAGTGGACATCTTCTGGATAGTTCGCAACTGCCTGGTCGATTAGTTGCAAAGCTCGCTGCCGTACTTTCCGTTCGTATTCATGGCGTTGTACAATAGTCCAATCCTTCGCATCCAAGTCCCGTAAATGTTTCTCGATTAGTTCATTTGTTCGAATGGCATACATGTATCCTCGCGGGGGGACGTTGTAAGTCATTTTGCACCAGAGTTTTGATTTTGGGGTAGCATGAAAGTTTCAAAATTCAATTGATCTAGATACAGAATTGAAGGAAGTTTTCTGAGGCTGGTCAGTAAGCAGAGTGAACTCAGCTCAAGGATAAAAGATGATTCACTATCTACTTGATTGAATGTCTTCTGGCAAGTCATCCAATTGTGTGCCCCAGTTATACCTACGTCCTAGAAAAATGTCATTTATATATTCATAATGCAATTTCTCTTGACTCTCAATAATCTATCTGGTTTTCTTTTCACGGATTTTTTTTCCGAAGATGAATGGGCTGAAAGATTCAAAAGATTCGAAAGTATATGATAAACGGCAATAGGCTTTCACGTTTCAAGATTTCATCAAGGTCATTGTATACCGACGAGAAAATTGTAGGAGGTCATGGAGAGGCGAGGGACGAAGCTAATAACTCGATACAGTTCCTTCTTTGTGTAAACTATGTAGCTGTAAACATTACGAATTCGAGGTTTCACGAAAGAAGTATTTAAAAGCTGGCCACATCATGATACTTTAAAACTTTTCGAAAGAGACATACGGCTTTAATGGGAGTTGGATGAAGCCAAGTATATCAGAAACTACGCTGGTGTCAGCGGGCGTGCCATTGATATACCTCAAAGCATCCAATCTTGGAAACTTCGTTGACTGATTAATCTGAATCGATGATTTGAATGGTAGCGTAAGACAGCTAGGTGTAAAGGTTGACAATCGAAAATACTTGCCTTTCCGAAAAGGGGACGTATAGTTGACTAGTAGCTACTTTACATAATGCTCTCATATCGTCCTCTACACAACAAGTCTTTGAAACAGCGAAACTCACGACAGAAATGCACACCATCATAGCAAAATGAGGAGTGAAAGTGATGGCATATCCAGGAATATTGCAGCACCTCTCTCTCATGAGGCCCGGTTGGTGCTATCTCGGCTACCGAACGGGGACATACAGCGTAAAGACTCGCGACCTCTTCGACCGTCGCTTCAAAAATAGCATCAAATGCAAGTCCTTTAGCCTCGGCTACAAAATTAAGAGCAGGTTGGATGGATCCACTGCCCTAAATGTACAATAGCTAGAATTAGTCATCAAGAGATACATCCCCTCTTGATTCCATAGTCTTAATACGATAGTTATTACAATACAAACCTCCGTATACCTGGAAAAATATACACACTTAAAAGAGTGGTGGGCAGCGAAGAGAGTAAGCAGCGAAATGGGGTTGATGAGATGGATTATATTGCAGGTAACGATGACAAAGTTGACCATAAAGGCGACAAGAAGACATAAAAGAAATGGAGATGAAAACTCACTACACAGGTAGTAACATGCCTAATCATGTTGATATCTGATCAAGGCCCCTCAAAGACTCCTCGGTGAAGATCACCAGGTTCTCTTATTGAAAATTCCTCTCTTCCATGGAAGCCCATCTTGTGTCTTCTTAGTAGTTGACACCTTAGCGGCGAAGGAAAATCAGAGTAAGGCTTACTTCTTGACTTATTCAATATTCATGGATCTCAACGCTTCAACTTGAGTGATTCTACGTAACAAATTGCTTATTTGACCTGACGGCGGAATGTACTCAACTTGGCGCAATTTCGCAAGCCATCGCCTGGGAGACGAAGTCCTAAGCAAGATCGTGATCTACTAGGGACAATACCATAGACACTCATCTGTAGTACAGTTGTAAGATCGTACGAAATTGTATTCATTAGGACCTGATTTATTCCCTTCACTCCAGTGGTGATCTGGCTCAAGGTGGAAAAAAGATACATCTGTATTCTCATTCATAGCTCGTTCCTACAGACGTATAAATAAATCTGGTTAAGGACATCTCATTCAAAATCAAAAGTGCTGGAGAGATATACGACCAGGGTCACGAGAAGTTTGGACCTGCAGACTGGATGCAACTTTTCAATATCCGGAACAAAATCATCATACAAAACGGATTCAGTGATCCATAGCGTCCAAATGTTCTCAAATCTTTTACGAAGAAAAGAAAAATGAAGTCCTATGATTTTCGAACTGTAGTCTGCAGTCCCAACTATCCGAAACGTTGCAAATTGAGATGCTCCACCATGCCATTCACAGCCTGCCCTGCTTTCGTAACCATTTTCATTAAATCACATGTGATTAAGCAAACGCACAAGCATGTAAGTGTTACGACCGCTTGGTTCATGATCTAATAAAGAACTATAGTATCATATATAAAGGTTGAAAGAATAAGTTTTGTAAGATACTGAATGATCTTAAAAAAAATAAAGGTTTTATCGATTGATTCGATCTATTCTAATATTGCTTTAAAAAATCTATAATAAATCAATTCTAAAGATACTTTTTAAAGACATTATAAGAAATCCTGTTTTTATAAATTCTTATAATATAATATACTTGAAAAACAAAATCTTCAAATTTAAAATAAAAAAAAGCTAATCTATAATAATTTATTTTATTATCGATCGCTATAAATATCAAATCTATAATATTACTCTTTATATCGTTATTATCACCTTAAACTCTTAAATATAAAGAAATAATTTGAGATTAAAGGATTAAAGGATATATTTTATATCGTATTAAAATTAATTCAAAAGAGATTTAATTATTTTTATTTAAGAGAATACTATTTTAATATATACAACTCCGTAAAAACGTTCTAATTAATTTTCCCTTTAAAATACTATTCAAACTAATAATAAGTTTATTTAATTTATATATTAATCTAAAACAAATCGACATGTAACATTTTAAAAGATTATAAATACATTAGCTTAGAAAAGTATAAATAGATACTGAATCTTGTTAAGTATATATAATATCTCTTATATATAAACAAATAAAATTAAATTCAGAATATATATTTATGTAAAACATTACACTAGGATATACTAAAGAATTTACTATTTAAGATTCTCTTAAAATGAACATTGAGAAGATAACCTAGTCTCTCAATTCTATTATATTCTATTATGTTTTATATAGATAGAATTAAATAAAAGAATAGATTTAAGACTATACGTATAGATCTTATAATATTTCCTATAGCTAATATCTATAATTCTTTATTATATAGTTTAGAAAAACACGAAAAAACCAAGGAAAAATTTTCTTGGAAAAACTTATTAATCTTTATTATATTCGAAGTAGAATATTATCTTTTATTCTTTCTTAAAGTTATTGAATTGATATTACTTAGGTTAGGTAGATATTATTGTTGATATTAAAAAAGAAGATTTAATATATTTATATTGAAATTATTAATATTGATATTATCAATAATAAATGTTACGGGAGCTGCCTCTAGGGTCACGTGGAAGTGGCTAGAGATCTCTCGAGGTGGTTTAGACTAGACTTCAAGTAGGAATTCAATAAGGTTGTAACTGGTTGCAATTCTCGTAACTATAGTAATGAAACTAATGATTGTTCTTGAGCACGAAGCTCTACATTATAATGAAACTCATTCCTTTATATAGACCTTCCTGCTCTACGAAACCCATGGTTCTGTTCTACTTGGATCCCTTGGATCCTAAGCTCCAAAGGCTCCAACGTCCTGTCACATGACACTCGTCACGTGATCCAATGTTACCCGTCGTAACAATAAACTTATTATACTGAATATAATTAATAAAAAAGATTAAATTATAGATTTTTATAATAATCTAGGGTTTTCAATACTCAAAGGCTTTATAAGGGAATCTTAATTACAAAAAAGAAGGTTTTTAGGTATAGGAAAATAAAGAAAGAATTTTTTTTTAAAAAACTCTGCTTTTTAAGAAATATTTCATAAAAGATATATTCATATAACATTTGATATTCTATTAGTATATTTATAATTACTCTATATGAATGAAAAGAGAAATCAAATCTTTTAAAAAACATTCAATATATTGATTCAGGTATATAGCATTTTATTATTAGTATATAATATTATTATGAAATATTGATTTCGATATTATTTTATATGATAACCGATATATTATTAATTACAATTGAAGAAGTAGTAATTCTTTAATATAAAGTATATATTATTAAAGCAATAATATCCCGATATTATTATATTTATTATTTCGATTTTATTTAATTATTTAATTCTACGATATAGTTTTGTTCTTTATATTAATAGAGTGGTTTGATAGACTCTAATATAGTATATTTTATATCGATAGGGTAATTTAATGGAAAAAAAGGGAATAGGAGATATTAGGTTTTAAAAAGAAATTATATATTATTGATATATTATAAGAGAAGATGGATATAAGGTTTATAAGTAATGAATTAGAAATTATAATAAAACGATTTTTAAAGTATTTAAAGTATTAAAGAATGAAAATAACTTTTTGAGAAAGATATAATATTATAATTAATTATAGTTTTTATAATATTTTGAGAGGAGTTGGATAAAAAAAGGAGAATTATTGTAATAGAATAAAAAGTGTAGGGTTTTTATAGGTATATTATAGGATTTAATAAGGAGAAGGTTTTTGAATAGGATAGATTTATAATATAGATGATTTGAAGGATTTGAAAGGAATTATTTAGGAGGTTGTTTAAGGGTTTTATTAGGAAAGTTTAAAGGGGGGTAGGTTTTTATTCTTTTTTCTATCTACTTCATTCAATTAGAATCATATATAAGCGTATTATATAGTCTTAGTATAGCTATATAGACCGAATCGATTATGAATTTACTACTACTACTGTATAGTTTAGAGAAAGATAGTTAGTTCCTATTCATTCTATTATATTCTTTATATATTATATTAAGTACTTTTTAAAGTCTCTCTTCTTTCTTCTTTATTAGAAGTACTATCTTTATAATAACATTTTTATAATATTTGTAAAGACTTATTCTATGACTCTACTACCTTTCACTCTTTTACATTAGATATTTCTTAATAATACTTTCACCTACTAGAATTCATTATATTAATGTTTAAAAAACGTTATATTTTTATTCGCTAAAGCTTCTATAAGTGAGAAAAAGCACAGCCGCTTTTTAATATGTTTATAATACTTGCTCTTTTAACCTTTACATACGATATTCGAGCTTTAAAGGCATTAACGTTCATCATATTTGAAGGCTGTGTTTGCCATGAACTGCCAACGCTTTGCACGCAATGAGAGCATTTAGTCTCGACCAGAGCAATTTATTTTCCTATGTCTACCTCCCGTGCGGGGTATTATTCAATCGAACGATTAACTAATTCATGCACGTATTGAGATCTATTTGTCAATTTGTCTCTACAACTAATCACAATGCTAGGATTACACGTCATGATTGGACGTGAAGTGTTGAAGAATTCGGACGGCGTTTCGGACAACTGTGGAATCTTCATGGCATGATTCGAATAGACGAAGATCAGATGAAAAGATTTCAAACCATTTCCCCGGTGAAATGAGAATGTCCGGAAGGAAAACGGACTCAGCCTCGTTAACAATCGAACGTTCAAGAGATTGGAAATACAAGACCATTCATATGACGCTGCCATGACCTTCTCTCCTTTAGAAAGATGGAGTCCAGGAACGTCTCTAAAGTTTTTAGTTACCCAAAGGGTCCCTGTCCTGCGAATACAGTCAGCATACCAACATCGCTAGGACTTCCGGACATCTAGACCACCCCCAAAATCCGCACTTTAAAGTTTTTGGACTTCTTCGGATCCACTCCTTGCCACTGCTACTTTCTTATTAGTAGGTATGTGTATTTTACCTGATTTAGCATTAGAACATCGTGGAATCCACATAGAGTATGACTCTTTGAAGATTTTTATATACTAAAGAAAAAAATACTTCAAGAAGAGAATGAAATTTTCGTGGAGGCTGGTCGGGTGATGTGTTGTACAGATTTACAAGAACGGTGTGGGATTTCTATTACAGAGAGAAAGTTGGTACATTGCTTGGTCGTTGGCCTCGGCTACGAACGTTTGAATGTTGGTATGGACGAGGAGAATATTACAGTAAGACATTGAATTAGCATGAAATCCTATTTTCCCCCTCTCGCCCCTGAATCTAAAACCTTATCTACTCGAAATCATTTCCAACATCCAAATCTTGAATCCAGTAAGATATACAGAGTAGATTCACATGGCAAGATACAACGTCCTCGGGTGTATCAATGTCGATCATGAACACTTCAATTGGTATCAAAATACTCTCATCAATGATTACATTTCTCAGCATTTCTCTTGGCTCTTGAACAGGGCTGACAAAATCCAAATACCCATCCATGCTTCCTTCCATCCATGCTTCCTTCCATCCATGCTTTACCATGTGCACACTGCACCAGGTGCTACGCCACAGACCATGACCATTGTGACCTATCAGCGCTTACAGTGGATGAATATAAATGCAAGACCCGGCCACAATCACTATCATTCATCAATAATCCCCCCAAAAATATTTAAGGTTTATAGCATCGAATTGATTAAAGAGCTGTCGTGTCCTGCTATTTCGTACTCGTCTCCCCATAGAAAGAGATCCATCCATCTCTGTTATTATCAAAATCATATCATTTATTCATTCTCCATTTTTGGTGCCCAATTATCCATCCCAATTCCACACAGCGACATATTGATCGATCACTCTACTCGTATTCCGTGTATATATTATAACGTACCTCCTCTTGTGACTAATCTCCCGCAACATTCGTCGATTAGAACCTAGCCTTTCATCAACCTCTCCCATCTACACTCGATAATAGCTGTTCAACGTAGCTAGTCAAAGTACAACTATGTCTGGAGCATTAAGTCTGCTCGCAGAGCTCGACAAAGAGACCAATAAAGCTCCAAGTCGAAAGAACAGTCAAGCAAAACCGAGGACAAGCAGATCGACAGCAAATTCGCGATCGTCTTCAGTCCAATCGTAAGTTTCTCAATTTATTCCCCGCAAATCATCTCACGCTGATAACTAACACTTAATGCAGAAGAGGACCATCACAAACACAACGTCCAACATCAGCCCCGGGGCCCAGTCCAGTAATCCCACCTCAAAATATAACTCCTCGGCGTACTACACAATCTACAAATGTTACCCCTCGAACATCATTTGAACTTGGAACTGAGAGATCGAGATCCCAAGGCCCGGATTCTCGAAGAGTTTCATTCGCAGAGGCCCCACGACCACAAACGAGAACTCTGATGATACCCTCGAAAGAAAATATGCCATCGTCCGGGTTTCCGTACAATCCAAAATTGAACAAATATGGTGTTTCCGAGCACGAATGGTCACAGTTCACAAAAGAAATAATTGAAACTCTTCCACCGTCAAAGAGCTTTAGCTGGTTATGGAAGCGCGGGAAAATTACTGCGATAATCAAAAGAGACCTTCAATACGAATCAGAATTGAAATCAGCTTTGAGGCAATGGAACAAAGGATTTAGACGTAGAGGCTTCCAGGTGTATCTGGAAATTCCAGTCGAGAAGGATTTGACCGATGATGAGGTCTCGGGAGATAACAAAGAAGAAAAGAAACAAGCAAAGAAGGATGCCAAGAAATTCCGATTCATAATAGGTGCTGGAAATTCATCATCTTCTTCCGTTTACTCGAGGACGAGTTTGGCGGAAAGCGTCAGTAGGGAAGATAAGGCTAAACCCGCCCCGATTTCGCGAGAGGATGAGGACCAACTGAATCAAAAGTTCCCACAAGCTCAGACGAATGAGACTGGCACTGCAACCAGTACGACAGGAGGTGGGCATGACGAGGATGCATCTTCAATTGAAAAGGCTCCAATCATTTCGCCATCAACAGACACTGTAGACCATGCTCCCGGTGCTGTGCCCGTGTCATGAATTTTGAATTCATCGAATTGTAAAATATAAAAGGGGGATTCACGACATGTAACGAAGATAAATGATTATGGTTTGGTTGGCGTTTAGGATTTGGATCATTGTTACTACCGATTTGGACATGGTTAATGAACGGGTAGTTTTAGGCTCCACTCAAGGTATTGGACCAACAGAACGGGTGCATTGGACATTGTCATGTTATGTACATTGCTCCCTGATGTATAGCGAGATTTGTACACCAGAATTTGTATATTAGATGAGAATTCAACTATTCCCAGCGGCGGCTTTACGGGTCTTCTGTTACTGTGGCCTCTTGTTCCTAGAATTTTATTACCAACATTTGTGATGGGATTGGCGAGTAAGGTGGAGGCAATGCGAATGCTTTATCCGTTTATTACGTGGGACAGATCGTCGACATACTTTTTCCTTCACTGGTTCTCAAAGCTCTCTTGTCATCTTTCGTCCCTTTTCTGAATCTCTATTGCATCTTGTCACTTCTCTCGACAAATGTCAAGGACTTTTTCGACAGCCACACAGTATTTGACCCTAGTTCAGCTGTGTCGATCGCACCATGAAAACCATCTCACCCGGTGCCGCTACTGAAGAATCATATCTCCAATTGCAAGTGCATTATTAGTGGCGGTGTCCACTGCGGTAATCACTTGTAGTCAGGGTTGCAAATGCATTGCCTGGCCATATTTGGTGACCTCTTACCAGGAAACTCTCTGAGAAAATAAAACATTTTGTACGTACTCAGAGTACCGTCACAATGAATGCTTTCGAGAGTCCTTTTTGGTTTACCATATTTCCAAGCATTACACTTTGATGTTTGTAGAGAAGCCTTTTTCTCGAGTGATGAATTTCGGCCGCTGGGACGGACACCAACAATATTCTGCGGCTTTTTCATGGACCCAGAAAGTGAAATCGGCTTCAATACCGATAGAATTTTCACCCGGCCCTCTATGACATCGCTATTTATATTCGAAAAGTGTTCGGCATAAAGAAATCAATGATTGATGTGGTCAATAGTGATCCAAATCATGTATCTATAAACAGTTCCCATACAATAGTTGCAATTGCCATCACATGAATAGATTGTGAATTTCCCAAATTTTCAATGAACCAAATGCGGTTTCAGTTCCTACTGCTTGAGAACAGACACTTATTTCATCATGTTTTCCCAGTGTTGCTTTGTATAGCAATTTTCGTTCCGTCTTGTCTTCCTTCTGCTATACCAAGCCAGGCATTATCAAATCACAAGAGAACTTCAAACACACCTTGCTTGAATGCTGCACCGTCACGGAATTGTTGGAACGGTAACTACTAAATTGATACAGATTCAGAGGAGGCTTGGCCAGATACTGGGATTGTTGTTGCTGTATGTATTTAGGGTGTTGTCGAAGTTGTTCATATCTCATTCCTTCCAGTACACTCTTAACATAACGAATCAGACTATGTCACCCGACGGTACACCGAGATGGATGTTAGTAGTCAACGGCACTTGCCCAGGTCCAACCATTGCTGCAAGTGAGTTTCTCCCAATGCGGCTCCCGTCCTTCCTCCAGTGAAATGTCGACTCATTTCTTCATGGATTGGGGCGATACACTAGAAATTACTGTTGTCAATCAAATAATCACAGACGGGTAAGTATCCTAGCTGTTTTTCATATCTCCCCATCAAATATTGAATCTGTTTAGTGTAAGCATGCACTGGCACGGGATTGTTCAGAAAGAGAGCAATACCATGGATTGTGTGAATGGAATAACAGAATGTCCAATCACGCCGGGTTCATCCAAGATCTACAAATTTCTCGCAACCCAGCATGGTACCTCTTGGTACCAATCACACCATGCAGCCCAATATGGTGATGGAGTTCTTGGAAGTATTGTCATTAACGGTCCTGCTTCGTTGAACTATGACTATGATCTCGGTCCACTACCGATTACTGATTTCTACTATAAGTCTACCTATGAAGAAGGCCTTCTCTCTGTTACTAAAGATCCTCCAAAAGCAGACAATGGCCTCATAAATGGGACGAATCGAAACCCTCACAAAACCGCTGGGGCGTATAATCATGTATCAGGACCAGTTCCAGGGGCAAAATATCGTCTACGAATCATCAACACGAGTATAGACAATCATTTTTAAGTCACTTTAGACTATCACTCTTTTCAAGTGATTCAAACCGATTTCGTACCGATCCAGCCCTACGTTACCAACACCATCTTCATAGCAATTGGCCAACGATATAATGCTATCATCACAGCTGATCAAACGCCTTCCAATGACCGGTTCAGTGCCATTGTTCCTAGACCTCCGACACAAAAGGGGTTTGGCTGCGGTCAGAATGCCAATAATGGGTCTATCAATGCCATTTTCTCCTATCAAGGTGTTGAATGATCGGAGCCAACTTTCAAATCTTTTCTTATACCCCAAAGCTGCGAAGACGAGAGTCTCCTGGCATGAGAAGTCCGTGCCCGAACATGAATTCGTGTGGCCTACCGCCCAAGAATTAGTTGTTACAGGCCCAGGAAGTAATTCGCTTCCAAAAGCACCTGCACCATATATCTGGAGTATCAATGATACGTACATGGAAATTGAGTGGGGTAAGCCCACGCTCCAATACGTTGCTCAGGAAAACAAAGACTACAACGTACATCAAAGTATCATTGAGCTTCCTGATGCAAATGTATGAACATTCTGGATCATCGAAAATGCCGCCGCGATACCACATCCCATTCACCTTCATGGTCATGACTTTACATCTTAGGACAAGGGAATAGTGTTAATTTCATAGACAAATCTACTTCAAACTTCGCTAATCCTGCTCGGCGTGATGTAGCCATGCTTCCAGCTCTCAGATATTTAGTTATTGCCTTTATTACGGGTAATCCTGGGGCTTGGTTGTTTCTTGACCGGAATCTCGACACCTCCTAACCTTCTGGCCCACGTGACCCCGCGCCGCCTTTGCTCAGGCAGCTCAGGCATGGTTCAACTTCGGCTCAAGTCTGCTCAGGCTTGCTCACCCATCTCGCCAGAAATCGTCAACTCTTAACGAGGAGCCCGAAAAGGCCTCCTTTCCCAACCAGGGATCCCAAATATATTCCCACTGTACGCTCCCTCTCAGACAGTTATCCTGGTCTGCTTGTCTTCCTTCATGCGTGGGACTTTTTTCTGCCTTCAGGTTGTTTAACGCCGTCCGCTGTGTTCTGCCTAGGGCAATGTAGTCTATAAATGACCAGTTCCCTCTTGTCTTCACCTCTCTTCTCACCCATCTTCTCACGCGTCTTCTCACCCATCTATCCACCGATCTTCTTACAGTCTTACCTATCTTCTCACCCATCTTTTCGCATATCTTCTCACATCTTCTCGCGCATTTTCCCTCCCCCTTCTCTCCTATCTCCAACCCCTCTCCCATTTTTCCAGAAAGTCCTTCTTTTCTCGTCTCCACTCCATATATCCACATCCGCACATGCACTGTTCTGCTAGCCATGAGCACTGAACAGGCAAAAGGATGCTGGAGAGGACTGAAACCAGACGAGCAGATAGAGGCAGCCCTGAGGGATGGGCTCTCTGAGGACAGGTCTGGGATCGATAGGAATCCTGTTCACAGAAAACTAAATGAAAAGACCAGCCAACCACGGTACGACGCGATGTGGGACTTTTGGGAAGCGTACGTTGCCAACATCATAAAGTCAGGTCCAGAATAGCCAAGCACTAACACAACTTAGGTATGAAAGGAAATATCCAAGCTCGAACTTACGCAATATGGTAGACATGAAGCATATCACTGAAGCTGTCGGACGCCCAACCCCCGGCAGACTGGACAAAGAACGGGACGCTCAACGACCGCAGCAGTCTTCTAGCTTTTATTACAAACAGTATATGAAGCGCAAACAATTTCAGTCGAGAGACTAGTAGATATATGAATTACTGTCCTTCTATGCAAATCTATTCGTCAAACATAGTTCTGTCTTCGAAGTACAAACATCTTGAAGACCTCCTCATCGACACGTTGGTCCTCTCCTTCATTTCATTCGTGACTCAGTACATCAGCCTTTCTAACAGCACCAGTCATGCTGCTAATCTCAGGTTATCACAGGATAACGTAGCGGCTATGTTATTCTGAACAACCGCGATGTCGTCAACAACCTCCTGAGCAGAGCCGTACTCTTGCGTCCAGCATTTGCTCGTAATTGCACTACACACTTGCATATCGACCGGAAATTGGCCGCTTCGAAACCGGCGCTCAATCTCCTCGTTATCCTTATCGCTGTCTAAGTCCGGGAAAACTTCATGCTCCATCATGATGAAGTAGACCGCGGATCCGAGAGCAAACAGGTCTGTTTCCACGTCGGCGTAATCAACATGGACTCGCGGTAGGAATGACTTGGTACACTCTCGAGACAAGCCATCAAGTAGAACGGTCCCATCACACGGTTTATGCATTCCCTGGAAGTCTGCGAGCTTGAGATCGAGATTTTCGTCAAGTAAGAGATTGCGCAGGTTGATATCGCAGTGGATGACTCGCTTCTTGTGTAAGTACTCCACCGCTTCAGCAGCTTGTCTACACCATCGCAACCTTTGGTCCAGAGATGTGGCGGGGTTTGCTGTGATATAGCTATTCAAATCTCCGTTTACTGCATATTCAAGGCGTAGGCCATCATTGTTCAGGCCTTTCGATCCGATAATTCGAGGATGGTTACCTAATATCTCGAGGAGTTGACTCTCTACTCGAAGATTGCTGGTTATGCCCGGTATGCACGGGTACTTCAGCACTGTCGATTCATCGACAACACCAATGTAGCTTTCCCCACCACGGCCAATTATCCGCTTGATGCCATTAGGATAGTACCGGTGTACCTCGATGATTTCGATATGGGACATCGCGAATATGTCGTGTGTGAATTAACGAAGTAGGGCCATGTTTCAAGGTAGGGTTCATTGGGGAAAAGAAAGATGAAGCTTCTGCCGAGCGGTCTGAGGATTTACGTTGGTAATCACAAAGTTCCCGCGTAAGCACGTGATAGCACATGCTCAAACCGATTGAGAGAGATGACATGCAACTTTTTATTGATTTCTAATCTCCAACATTTGCATCGTCAAAAGATAGTTTCCATCAAACGAAATCACGTTAATCCTTCAACCGAGCAATGACCATCCATTTGATTTATCTACATGTGCATCTCTATTAGAAAATTGAAGCTCGACGAGACTTGCATTACCATTTACTTACCAAAATGTTTAGCATTTAGGGCAGATTCCTCCCTTCTTGGTGGTAGATCTCATATGTTGGTCCTGGTATCCATTACAGTCCGACTTCCCACATGCGGGTTGAGGATCGTATGTTATTAGGACATGCTTCGGTGACGCGGTACAATCGACATATTTCGTGGTATAGACGTATCGAATACACATCTTGATAGTATGATTGGTGTATTTCGAACAGTGAATGGTAAGGTAGTCACAAGGTAGGAGTAAGACCTAAATAGAGAGGAATAGTCAGGTAGACTAAAGCTCACTGTGCTTGAATTGGCACGTTGAGTGGCAACCACTCAGAGGTATATAGCTGGAGTAGTCTGCTGTTTACATCGAAGACTACATTCTGAGTTAAAAACACCTCGAAGTGATTAATGTACAATAAACCAAATTACATCGTCACACCCTCTTACTCTTATCTCCATGTGTCACTACTTTGACCAGTCGTACTATTTCAGTAAATGCAGAGCCGACCCCAAGCATATTCAGCTCAATCGCGATCAGAATGAATGCAACAAAGCCAAAGCTAATGGGCACTATTGTGCCAATGCGTCGCCGACTAAAAGGAAAGGTAGTAAAGTGCTTGTGATGGGGTCATCGAAAAGGCCAGACGATTGTCCTCAATATCCGCCTGAGCTTCCAGAGATATGACCTTACCGATTAAGACATCTTAAATATTTGCTAAAAACACAAGACATAAACTACTTAACAACAGTTTCTAACCCAAAACAAAATAAGAAGCAGGGACATAAGAGTAAGGGCTATTAGGAATACAGTGGTATAACGGAATGCAAAGGGTTGAAATGGTACAACAAGTTTGGACCAGACTTGGATACTTCCCTTCTTTATATGCACGGATTATCTCCGTATCTGACAACTCTTTATATGGTTTGGATCCTGTCATGATCTCATAGAAGGTAGAAGCAAGAGCAAAGAGCTCACTTCCTGTCGAAATGCCTGTAATCTCAGGATGTTCGTGACTGGTCTCATAGCATATGAGAGGATCTTGTCCATCCATCGAAGACCCAGCAAAGTCGCCAAGCTTCGCGTTAAGGCCTTCATCAAGCAAGACGTTGTTACAGGAGATATCCCCGTGTAACATATTTCTGGAATGGATAAAAGCGACCGAAGCCGTGATCTGTTCAACCCAGCAAAGTTGTAGTGAGAGCGACACCGGCTTGGCTTGGCTGGCGTAGTATTGTCTTATAGAGCCATGGCAGGCATATTGTAAGATAAGAGTGTCCCCTAAGTTTCAATAATATCGGAGAACCCCATCGTGATCGTGCCCGAGGCGCTCGTAGATGCCCTTTTCTCTCTCGAGCAATGGTACCTCAGTACGCCGGGCGAACTTGATAACAGCATCAAGGCGGGCGACCAATGCTATGATGCCTAGTCCCACCATATCTTGACGATTGATGCCCAGCGGATATTGAACAGTGTGGTCCATTGGAGGTTTCTGGAAGGGCAGTTGTACCTAGACTCACTATGTTAGAAAGCAATAAACAATTGAGTGATGAATCGATTTTGTCGATAGTGAGGTGTTCGGAAGCAAGAAGAGGGTTGCCTCAGGCACTCCGACCAGATGCAAGAGGAGTCTAGTGCTTTTGGGATAAAAGTACTTCCGTTCCGAGAGACCATGCTCTTGCAGGCCTCAAACCTGTCCACAGTAGGTAGCAGCATTCTGGATACCAACTAATCTTTAATCAGCCTAGCGCCAACCGAGGTCACTAGAGCAGCCTGTTACAACGGTATCCAACATACCGCGTCACATGGCCAAACGGTCACGTGATGGACCTAGAGGATCTAGGGGATTGAAGAATAAATATCTAGATCTATAAGATCCAAAGGATTTAAGTAGAACAGAATCTTATAATGCTATAGAAAATAAAGGTCTATATAAGAAATAGGGTTTCTTTATATATAAAGCTTTATGCTTAAGAATAATTATTAATTTCATTATTATAGTTATAAGAATTATAATTAGTTATAACCTTATTGAATTCCTACTTGAAGTTTAATCTAAACCATCTCAAGAGATCTCTAGTCATTTCCACGTGACCCTAGAGGCAGCTCCCGTAACACAGCCGCTGCTCTATGATGACAAAGTTAATATTATAGACAAAGAGAAATTTAATATAAATTCTTATATAAATTTCTATTATATACATAATAATATTAATCTCTTTTTTTTTATTAATAAAACACTGATTTTGTTAATAATGAATATTATCAGTATAAAATACGATCTATTTGATATTGAATTTTAAAAAAAATAAAAAAAATAAGGGCTCTTAAAGGCCTTCAAGATTTTAAAATCTTTAAATATTAAAGTTATAAAAAAGATAAACGAAAAAGTATATACATAAAGATTAGAAGGAGGTTATACAGGTAAATAAGAGTTAAGGAAGAAAAAAAGGAGAGCAAACATAGAGACTAGAATGAATAAAAAACATTAGTCGAAAGTTTAAAGGGGGGTTTATTCATTAATCGCAACACTTCATCTTCTTTATAACACTTTGTCGTAGAAGAACTACGAGAGCAGGATATAATTTATCCTTAGAATCTATAACTATAAAATCAAGAGTAAAGTACTTATAAAACACATTTATATATTAACTATATATATACATGTATATACACATAAGTAATCATAATTATAATTAAAGCCAATCTATAATACTACTTTTTCTTTTGAAAAACTTATCTTTAAGCTTTATAATTACTTATTTAATTTATATATTAACGATTATAATAAAATGTCGTTATTTATATAATCGAATAACATAATAAACTAATTTAAGTATAAACTTTTCTTTTTTACAATAAAAAGATATATAAAAAGTAGAATATATTGTTCTATAATCTTAATAATAATTTGAATTTTTGAAATATATAGATCTCTTCAATTTCCTTATTTCTTTTAATTATTTTGTCTTTTCTTATTCTTTATTATTAATATGTTTTTAATACTATTAAAAACTTATAATAATAAGAGTGAGTTGTTATTAACATAATTGAAATAATAGGAAATGATATATATAATAATAAACTATTTATTTTATCTTTCATATTTTTAATACTAATATATTCTATTAATAATTTATAATAAAACAAAGAATTAAAAATTTTATTTCATAAAATAAATGTTTTATTATAAAGAAGTTGAATAATGATGAAGATGTTCTAGAATTCGAGCTAAAGAATTATAATAATAATGAATTAAATCATAAAAATGTAAATAAATAAGCTTTTCCTTTTATTATTTTTCAACATATAATTGACTTATCTAATGAATATAATTATAAATGTTAAGAATAATATGTTTAAAGATATAATTAATTATTAATATATTTATTAAATATATTTATATTATTATTTTTCAAGGTAAAATTTAAAGAAGGAATATAATTCTTTTTTTAATTATATTAATAATTATAAAAAGAAGTTCACTAACAAATCGATTATAATGATATATTACTTTCGAGATCTTGAAAAAAATGAAATTATAGGGGAGGAGATTATAAAGACTTTGCGCTAAAGTTAATCCAATTATAATTTTGATATAATTTATTATCAAAATATTAATTTCATTAATGTTAATAAATTGAGATCTTTAAGTAAAAGATTATTAAAGAAAATAATACTATTATGAGAACAACATGTTCAAAAGAATAATTAAATTTATACTAATTATATTTATAATTATATTTTTAGAAAAAATGATGATATTTATTATCATATCTCCGACCAAACTTTTAATTAAACTTATTGCCTGCTTTATTTAAAGATAAAGTATAAATACAAATATTTACCTAAGAAATAAACTCATATTTTGTTTTTTTAGTATCAATTAGTTATTATCAAATATAATAATATAATAAAGATAAATTATAACTTTATTATATTCTAATAAAATTAATTTTATTATTATAATTTAACTTATAAGAGGATTTAAAAAGTTATATTTCAAAAAAAAATTTAATTATTCTTATTTAGGAGGATATAAATTATTAAGTAAATAAAGTAATAAAATAAAAAGAAGAATTAGAATAATAATATTAATTAATTTTAATTTAGATAGAAGTTAATTTTCTAGTAATTTGAATATAATTGAAAAAGACTAAGCACAAATTCGACTTTATTACTATTTAAACTATAATTAGCCACCGTTTTACCTTTTAACTTATAATTACCCTTTCCTTCTTTATTATTATTTTTTGATTAAAAATTTGATTAATATTTTAATTTAAATTATTTAATCTTTATTATTATACCTCATCCAACTATAACCATTTCTATTTATAGGGAATATCTTTTTAATTTTTTTTAATTTTGTTTATTTATTTATAATTTAACAATACAATTTTATCTAATTACTTTCGATTACTTATAAGATTATAATTTTTTTTATTAATTTAATAAATAAAAGAAATTATTTTAATCTTTTTTATTTATATATTGATTATTATTTATGAAATTATAATTTTTTTTTTCACTTTTATAAAAGTAAATTTATTCGAATAAATATATAGAAGGTTTTAATAAAGAAGAATTTTGTAAGTAAAAATTATAAAGAAAATATAAAACTGTTTTAAGGTTTAAGGTAGAGTATTAAATAAGATTATTATTTATATTTAATTATAATACTTTATATTTGAACTGTTAATATACTTTCTTAATAGTAAAAATATATTTTACTTTTTATTTAATATTACTAATAATATTAATTAGAGGTGGTGATTTAAGGATTTATTCGGGAAGTAAATTGTCTACTACTTTATGAAATTTATTAGGCGAAAACATAAAGTAGATTTTTATAATTAGTAATAGATTTAATTTAAAGAAATCTCTAGTATGACTAATAATCTTGAATCATCTTTGAATAAAATAATCTAATTTCTTAGAAGGTTATTATATTAGAAAATTCTTTATATTAAATTATATTTAATCTTTAATATTAAAGTTAATTAATTAGTAATACAAATTAATTAATTAAAATATTTTTTCTTATGTATACAAGATATTCTTTTTTGTTCGATTAAAAGCTAGTTTATTATATTTAATATACTCTTTAATATTAATTATATTTAAATTATTAATTAGTAGTATTAAATTAGATTTCCAATCTTAAAGGTTATAGAATAAATGATCATATAAAGTTTCATATGGAAATTAACTATTTAAAGATTTATATGAAAGTATAAACTAGGTGTAGTTTATTATTAATAAGAATTCAGATTAATCATCTTGATAATAACTTATAAAAGATTGTAAATATTATTAAAGATATTTGTCTTTATTAAAATTATAATAATTTATAATAATATATTATTATATTTAAATTAGAATAAATAATAAATATAGAAGATTGAAAGTATAATCTCTTAGAATAAAGCTATGCTTGTATTTATAATAGTTCTGTATATATTATTCTACAATTTAAATTATTTTATTTTAATAATACTATTTTATTAAAAAAATAAATATCTTTTTTATATCAAAATGTATAGTTGAAATTAAATTATAAACTTTGTAAATCAAGTAGGTTTGTAAATTATTAATATTTAATATATAAAATCGATTATTATAAAGTAAGAATTCTTTTTCAAAAGTAAAATGCTTATACAATCTAATCATATAATTATATAAAACTTCTAAATTTGAAGAAGATTTATTTACTTTAATAATTTGATTTACAATATTAAAAAGTAGTATAATAATATATATATTAATATATATGATTATATCCAAATTTTACTATAGAAATTCATATATAATCTTTATATCTATTTAATCATCTTTTATAAACTATTAAAGACAGTTTTTCTTTTTAATACTATTTTACTAACTCAACTTGTTAATATAATATATAAGTATATCTATAAGAAGATTGTTCTTTTCAGCATGGTATATAATAAGGAAGTTGTAATTGGTAAGTAATTTTACTTAACATACTTAATAAGTATTTAGCTCTTTAATTAATATGAAGTACTTAAAAACTTTGTAATTGGTGTAGATTTTGATCTGATATAAGGATTCAATAAGTTCAGCTTTTTAATAGTCTAGGGATTTGATAATTATAAGTATTTCTTTATTATAAACTTTATAGTTTAGTTTAATAATAATTATCATTTTCAAAAAGTAGATAATTAATAATCATTTGTTATTATGCTTTTAGGAGAGTATACTAATAACTATATTATTAAATACATTGATTTTCAATATATAAAATAGTATATAATTATAATACTATAGAAAAAAAAATTTATCTTTAAATATAGCAAATAAATTCTAATAGATTTTATCGAAATAAAATTTAATATTCATTTTTATGAATTTATAAAAAGGTTTTATTATTATCTTATAATTTTTAATAAATTAATAATAAAAGTTATAAAACCTTAAAAAAAATTGAATATTCTTTACTGTAATAGAATAAATTTAAAT